TCTTCGGTGACAACTTGAGAATGGCATGATGGAGGCTTGCTTCACTCTCACGCCTACTTACAGCTTTCTCTTTATGTGGCATCGAGCGCGAGTTGCCACCAAATCTGCATAGTAAACTGGAGCTGGAATCGACACAGAACGGGCACATCGCCCGTAAGTGTGGCACATTCTGAAATCGAATCTTGTCAGTTTCAGATATCGTGAAAAAAGTGCGTAAGTCTAGATGTTTCTGCATGGGGAATTCACACGTTCAACTAACCCATATGTGATCGCTTGCATTTCATCTGCACTGAAATCGTTATCGTCCCACAGCACGTGATATCTGGCCGGTCGTGAAGTGCCTTGCACACCGTAATGTGAACAGAGGTAGAAATCGAATCCCTCGGGCGAAACAATTCCAGTATCGACCTGAAATTCGACTCAATGCAATACTCCTTGAGGCAACCTCATGAGGTTGTGTCGAGGAATATATACTCGATATCGGAAGAGTTGGGGTAGGCGTGTCACCGGAAGTGACGTGCACTTGATAGAAGCTATGTGGATAAGCTGCTTCCAACATACATCGCTGGATATCAGCAAAGCATGCTGGCAACAGCTTATCCACGCAACTTCTATCAAGTGCACGTCACTTCCGGTGACACGCCTACCCCAACTTTCGGATATCGACTGTATGTGGGTAGATAGAGTAGCCCACGAGTATCACAGATGTGCCGTTGTCGCGGCTCGAAAGTGCGCGACAATGGCGCTAGGGCCTTACAAAGTGATCTATGGCGACTAATGTGAACTTATGGACGAGATACCTCGCGCACACCCCATGACACGCAGCGTGGATTACGACGTAGCGGCTAATTCAAAACGCGCGGGTTAGTGGAGCCATGGAGCAAGCAAGTTCAGACAGCTCGGTCGGACGCCCCTTCCTCATTTTGAAGGTTTTTATGGCGTCTTTTCCTCCCCACTAACGTTCCCCATCGTACTTCTTGTCTGATTCAAGCAAGATGACACTCCATTTCGATCTTACCCGTGCCTTCAGATCACTTCTGTAGTGAGGTATGTGCAACATGCGTGACAACTTCATTCTCAGTCTTACACCTCGTATTGGGAACATATATGCATTTTCTAAATTTTCTGGGAGGCAAAATGTCACAGTAAATCAATGCCGCGCTATGGAGCTGAGGCCGAGGCTGAGTCTGAGGTGGCTTCAAGTTGTTCTCTGCAAACTACAGGCCACTACTCTGAAATAAGCCATCACCTCTTGTTCCATGTGAACAGGCTAGCCCTTTCAAGAGCTTCGGTCACTGAAGTCTCCTGAAGCAAATTCTCCGACTCACCGTGGTTCCTGGTGGAATGTTCCTGGCTTTTCCAACCATGTCCGTGCTGTACTTGCAGAACATTCTGGCATGATGCCTCTTCTGTACAACAACGTAGGTTATAGGTGGACGGTAGTCGGGGGAGAGTATCAGCAAGCCCAATCTGAATCCCTGAACTAACGATACAAACACTAAAGTACCCACCATTACGAACTTTGTGGCGAAAAATTTCCGGAAAAAAAAACGTCAGGAAGAGACTGCTCAAGCCATCATTACTGACTTGTATCTCTTCGCGCAATACTTCTGCGAATTGACCTTCCGACACTCCATCGCGGTAAACGATGATTCGAGTTGGCTTCTGATTAGTGTTCCTGCAATTAACGCGTGCAGATATACTCTTGCACTGTCCCCGTGTACTATTTGTCATATAGCTTTTGAACGCTATCTGCAGATAACGGAGTGGCATCGACTCAAGCCTAAAGAGCAGAATCTCCTCCACAAAACGAAAATGCTACACACCCTCTGGAGTCTCGCTCACCGGACTCCTAAGACTGTGTCTGTTTTTTTTTAAGAAAACGAAGAACTTTCGTGGTCTTAATGCTTTGTCCATCACAATGTCCCCGTATCCTGCGATAAATGTTCTTGTAGCTTTTGAACAAGCACACTAAAACGACACGAGTCTCTCCCGAATGGCGTCAAGTAGATAGACAACCGATTCGCGACACTTTCGCTGCACCTTGACGTTGGCGCCATAGGACTGAGGCAGTAGGTCTATGTTAGCAACGATCTAAAAAAATGTGTTTTTTAAAAGTTTGCGTACCAGTCTACGGAAGTTCCCTACCTTAAAACGACACCCCTTTACAGTCCCAACTAAGGCTACTTCCTTATATACACACTTGATCCCCCATCCAGCTATTAGTGACTTCTCTTCCTGAACGCGTCCATAATTGAATCAATTTAACAACAAAGTAGATGCCACTCAATTAGGATACCGAATATTACAAATCTTCTACTGTCAGGAGGGGTCCCACGACTTACTTTCTTTTCCATTTATTAGCCAGGGTGAGCCAACTGTCGGAATTTTCGGACAACAGGACCGCTCCGCTGTGCCCCATCACCTCCTGCGACCTCTGATCGTTCTACACATTTTTTGATCGTTTTTGATTGCTGACTGTTGTTTAGTCGTAGTTTACCATACCAAAGCCATTTTGTCTCACAACCATATCATTTCATCGACGATAACCCAGTTTTGTTTATGCTAGCGTTCCTACTTATAACAATCAAAAGATCAGCAGAAGTGCCGATGTTAGACTCTGCGAATCCAACTATTCGCAAGTAGCGACACCGCGGACTCACTCCTAGTGAATCGCTGGAATCACAAAGTCTGACACCGGCCCGCGCTAGGCGCTGCCTAGATTACCGTACCGCTGCCACTGATGGTATGTTCATGCGCTCTTCGGCCTGTGTTGGATGTGTGACATCGATGCCAACGACCAATGTGGGCTGGTCTATTATGTACTTATGGGTGATGTTGTCGGCGACAATGCGACTGTTGATTCCTCCAAGCTTCATGTTTACCTAAAAATCATGTGATTGTGTTAAAAACCTTTTTAGGGATCTTGCAAGAAAAGTCTTGATCACATCGTTTGGTTCTGTTTCGTGAAAGTGTTTACGGGGTTAACAAAAGATCAAAATGCGTAAATAATATTTTCATTTCATTTCCTCAGTTTTACAACTGCATGGTAAGGGTATGAAATCGAGATGAACTAGTGGGTTGAGTTACGTGTGACTCACCTAGTCAATCCACCAGCAAGGTCAAGTGTCCGTTGTTCTAATCCCAGAAATTTGGCGACCCCCTTGTCCTGCAACCACGACCCCAAACACGTCAAATTCACAGATCCGATCCACCTTTCCAGCTGTTTGATCATCGCCAACCCCAAATACGGTCCCTCGTTGGGAACTACACAACACACAGTTGACCCACCATCTAGTTCCTAGAGAACTGAGTTGAGGTCATAGCTG